GTAATCAACCCTGGGAATCCGACAGCACTAACAAAGCCGTCATCTGGTCCTGCGGTAAATGTCCTTTCCAGAGAACAGCCAACAACAAAGAAGCCGTCTTCGTAGCAGCATGGGTAGGTGGCCTCCGCTTCTACAGCTGCTATTTATATATAATTCTATATAATTATATATGATTATATATAATTCTATATAATTATATATGATTATATATAATTCTATATAATTATATATGATTATATATAATTCTATATAATTATATATGATTATATATAATTCTATATAATTATATATGATTATATATAATTCTATATAATTATATATGATTATATATAATTCTATATAATTATATATGATTATATATAATTCTATATAATTATATATGATTATATATAATTCTATATAATTATATATGATTATATATAATTCTATATAATTATATATGATTATATATAATTCTATATAATTATATATGATTATATATAATTCTATATAATTATATATGATTATATATAATTCTATATAATTATATATGATTATATATAATTCTATATAATTATATATGATTATATATAATTCTATATAATTATATATGATTATATATAATTCTATATAATTATATATGATTATATATAATTCTATATAATTATATATGATTATATATAATTCTATATAATTATATATGATTATATATAATTCTATATAATTATATATGATTATATATAATTCTATATAATTATATATGATTATATATAATTCTATATAATTATATATGATTATATATAATTCTATATAATTATATATGATTATATATAATTCTATATAATTATATATGATTATATATAATTCTATATAATTATATATGATTATATATAATTCTATATAATTATATATGATTATATATAATTCTATATAATTATATATGATTATATATAATTCTATATAATTATATATGATTATATATAATTCTATATAATTATATATGATTATATATAATTCTATATAATTATATATGATTATATATAATTCTATATAATTATATATGATTATATATAATTCTATATAATTATATATGATTATATATAATTCTATATAATTATATATGATTATATATAATTCTATATAATTATATATGATTATATATAATTCTATATAATTATATATGATTATATATAATTCTATATAATTATATATGATTATATATAATTCTATATAATTATATATGATTATATATAATTCTATATAATTATATATGATTATATATAATTCTATATAATTATATATGATTATATATAATTCTATATAATTATATATGATTATATATAATTCTATATAATTATATATGATTATATATAATTCTATATAATTATATATGATTATATATAATTCTATATAATTATATATGATTATATATAATTCTATATAATTATATATGATTATATATAATTCTATATAATTATATATGATTATATATAATTCTATATAATTATATATGATTATATATAATTCTATATAATTATATATGATTATATATAATTCTATATAATTATATATGATTATATATAATTCTATATAATTATATATGATTATATATAATTCTATATAATTATATATGATTATATATAATTCTATATAATTATATATGATTATATATAATTCTATATAATTATATATGATTATATATAATTCTATATAATTATATATGATTATATATAATTCTATATAATTATATATGATTATATATAATTCTATATAATTATATATGATTATATATAATTCTATATAATTATATATGATTATATATAATTCTATATAATTATATATGATTATATATAATTCTATATAATTATATATGATTATATATAATTCTATATAATTATATATGATTATATATAATTCTATATAATTATATATGATTATATATAATTCTATATAATTATATATGATTATATATAATTCTATATAATTATATATGATTATATATAATTCTATATAATTATATATGATTATATATAATTCTATATAATTATATATGATTATATATAATTCTATATAATTATATATGATTATATATAATTCTATATAATTATATATGATTATATATAATTCTATATAATTATATATGATTATATATAATTCTATATAATTATATATGATTATATATAATTCTATATAATTATATATGATTATATATAATTCTATATAATTATATATGATTATATATAATTCTATATAATTATATATGATTATATATAATTCTATATAATTATATATGATTATATATAATTCTATATAATTATATATGATTATATATAATTCTATATAATTATATATGATTATATATAATTCTATATAATTATATATGATTATATATAATTCTATATAATTATATATGATTATATATAATTCTATATAATTATATATGATTATATATAATTCTATATAATTATATATGATTATATATAATTCTATATAATTATATATGATTATATATAATTCTATATAATTATATATGATTATATATAATTCTATATAATTATATATGATTATATATAATTCTATATAATTATATATGATTATATATAATTCTATATAATTATATATGATTATATATAATTCTATATAATTATATATGATTATATATAATTCTATATAATTATATATGATTATATATAATTCTATATAATTATATATGATTATATATAATTCTATATAATTATATATGATTATATATAATTCTATATAATTATATATGATTATATATAATTCTATATAATTATATATGATTATATATAATTCTATATAATTATATATGATTATATATAATTCTATATAATTATATATGATTATATATAATTCTATATAATTATATATGATTATATATAATTCTATATAATTATATATGATTATATATAATTCTATATAATTATATATGATTATATATAATTCTATATAATTATATATGATTATATATAATTCTATATAATTATATATGATTATATATAATTCTATATAATTATATATGATTATATATAATTCTATATAATTATATATGATTATATATAATTCTATATAATTATATATGATTATATATAATTCTATATAATTATATATGATTATATATAATTCTATATAATTATATATGATTATATATAATTCTATATAATTATATATGATTATATATAATTCTATATAATTATATATGATTATATATAATTCTATATAATTATATATGATTATATATAATTCTATATAATTATATATGATTATATATAATTCTATATAATTATATATGATTATATATAATTCTATATAATTATATATGATTATATATAATTCTATATAATTATATATGATTATATATAATTCTATATAATTATATATGATTATATATAATTCTATATAATTATATATGATTATATATAATTCTATATAATTATATATGATTATATATAATTCTATATAATTATATATGATTATATATAATTCTATATAATTATATATGATTATATATAATTCTATATAATTATATATGATTATATATAATTCTATATAATTATATATGATTATATATAATTCTATATAATTATATATGATTATATATAATTCTATATAATTATATATGATTATATATAATTCTATATAATTATATATGATTATATATAATTCTATATAATTATATATGATTATATATAATTCTATATAATTATATATGATTATATATAATTCTATATAATTATATATGATTATATATAATTCTATATAATTATATATGATTATATATAATTCTATATAATTATATATGATTATATATAATTCTATATAATTATATATGATTATATATAATTCTATATAATTATATATGATTATATATAATTCTATATAATTATATATGATTATATATAATTCTATATAATTATATATGATTATATATAATTCTATATAATTATATATGATTATATATAATTCTATATAATTATATATGATTATATATAATTCTATATAATTATATATGATTATATATAATTCTATATAATTATATATGATTATATATAATTCTATATAATTATATATGATTATATATAATTCTATATAATTATATATGATTATATATAATTCTATATAATTATATATGATTATATATAATTCTATATAATTATATATGATTATATATAATTCTATATAATTATATATGATTATATATAATTCTATATAATTATATATGATTATATATAATTCTATATAATTATATATGATTATATATAATTCTATATAATTATATATGTGATTCCATATATAATCATATATGATCATATACAATTATATATGATTATATAGAAACATTTTTTCTCGGGTTTGCCATGGGCCGTCGCAGAAAAATGCCATTCAGCAGGAATATCAAAATCATCTTCATGATAATATAAATTTACAAAATTTTTGAAGTTTTTGAACTGTTGAGGAGCTCCATCAGAAAAATAATAAATCTTGTTACAGCGTTCAGGAAGACTTTTTACATAATCAGTTATTAGTTCCCTGGCGGATTCGGGTTCACAGTAAAATGATCGTGAAACGACGGTGAATGTACCGTGAATTCACAGTGTCGACAAATGATCGTCGAATGACCGTCACTTGACTGTCGAACGGCCGTTATTTGACAGTGAACGACGAGTATCATTGTGAAAGTTTTTCACTGTTACTTTATGATTTTTATTCTGTATAATTATCATACTTCACTCTTCGAAAAACCAAATTTTTACTTGACTTCTTCGATTTTTTACCTAAGTAAAAATCGTAGATCATCGATCGATCGTCTATCATTGCACGGTAGTTTGTAAGTGAAACGACCGTGAAACGAGCGTATAATGTTGGTAAGTCAGGAATGTTTTACTTGTCAACGAAGAAAAATTGCTGACAATATTTTATTTTATTTTATTTCCATAAAAATACTCAAACCATAAATTATAAATTATGATTATTAACCGTAAGTATTTATTAATTAATGTATGGAAAAAGTAATTAATTTTTTTAGTCACAAAAATCATTAATAGCAACTTTATTGCAGGTTATTTTTTCTAATGGTGAAGAATTGTCTCTTGACGTTAAAATTAATTCTTTCAAAAATATTTGCGAGTTCTTAAAATCTGTGGAAAGATGGCCATTATGTGTTGGTACTTAAATAGACAGTAATAAGTAAGAATATTTTTTACATATAAAACCAAGGAGCTATAAAAAGTCTTACTCATTTATAATACACTTCAAAAATTACATCAATTTTCAGGTACTCACAATTGTGTAAAGGTGTAATTATAAGTGACGATGCTTACCAAAGAAATCAAAGAAATCCAAGATGTAAATCATGTCGAATTTTACAGAAACGATTGCAAAGCCGTAAATCAACTTCAATTGTTTTAGAGAAAAGTACTGCTAAGAGATCGTCAAAATATTGTAAAATAAAACGAATCTCTCTCTATTCAAGTGATAGCGAAAGCATGGAAAATAATGCTGGACCAGGTATCGAGAAATCAGAAGAAAAAATGGACCTGATTGGAAATGCGGTGGATATAGTGAAAAAAGATGAGTCACGAAAGAAACAAGAAAACGATGAAAATGGATTAATACACAATGCTGAATACTACAAAAACCATCCATTAAAAAGTTGTGTTATTTGTCGACACAGTTTCAAAACTAACAAAATCGTTCTATTCAAGCGGTACGAATTAACTGTAAATATGATTGACACAGTAATTAGTGAAAAGGGTTGGATAGATGGACAGTGCATGGATGTATACGTTGGTAGTCAAATTAAACACTGGAACAATATTACGTACTTACCAACTGATATTGGAGGAGAAATTCTAGGGAGAGAAGATGATTTAAGGCTCCACCCCAAAAGATCGATGTTAAACATTAGCGAACCCATTGGTGACTTAATCTTGATGCCGTATGTATATCTAAATCACTGACGCCTACTGCTAATTAACGTTAAAAATCAAACCCTCGACTTGTATGATCCCTATGAAAGAAGTTTTGAAAAATGGGATCGGATTCAAAAAAACCTTGATGTATTTTTAAATGCATGCGATAAGAAATCGAGCATGAAAAAATTACAAGGGATAGAGTGGTCAAGATGTATGGCGAATTCAAAAAGACCTTACCAAAAAGATGATTATAATTGCGGCGTGTATGTGTGTTATTATATGGAATGTATAAGTAAAGACATCGAGTTTGAACTGTCCTTCAACCCAAAAATTTATCGAGCTGAAATGGCGAGGAAGATATTACTCAGTTCAGACTGTGTCAAGAAAAATTGTTTATATTGTTTTGGACAGATAACGAAAAGAAACAAAGATGGAGAACGAAGTTGTATTCAATGCAAAAGAAATATCCACCAAAAATGTCTAAAGAGATATGAAGATGAAACAGGTCGAACTGAGGAGTTAAAAATATGCGAAAATGAAATAGAATCAGAAGATTATGTCTGCATATTGTGCAGGAAGTGCAAAAGTAAAATATAAAATCTAGGAAGACAATAAATGTCTAAAAAAAAATCATAAGAACTTAATAAATGTTAAATATAATGGAACAACTTTCCATTAAAAACAAAAATTAGATATATATTTGTGACTGTTATATTAGTATCTTGTCGTGATGTTAAAAAGCTTTAACGTGATACTAACGGTTACATAGTAATGAGTTTATTTGATTTAAAACTTTTATGTATTAGAAACTATGATATTATTATTTTGTTAAGATGTTTGAAAACTTGATATTATTATAATGATTATGATGATGTCTTATCAATATGTTAAACAACTTTATATATTTATAGCAATTATATTAACGTATCATATTATTGTGATGTTTAAAACCCTTATATGATTATAAAAATTATATGATAACTTTGTAAAAATGTTAAAGAAATGTAAAAATTTATAACTAATATAATAAAAAAAATTGTATTTATAATTGTATTTCAAATCTGTATAAGTAGATGAAAATCTATATATTACTTTATTACGATAGTTTAAACCTGAATATGGTGATCATAATTATTTATTGCTTCATCTAAAAAGTTCAATTGATTCCGAAGTCATACTCGGCCATCTTATATTTTTTTCTTAATTTTTTTTATTAAGTAGAAGATAAGAGTATCGTAAAGGTTGATTCGGAATTCGTAAAGATTTAATTATTTACTCCGAGTTATGTGAAGGCGACCTGAAAATATTCTATGATTTTCAGACTGATACTCAGCCATCATCTATTTTTGTATGAATTTTGATTATTATTGAGAGGGCAATAAAGGTATCGGAAGAGTTGTTCTTCTGTAGAGTCTCGACTTTATAAATTTTAAAAGTTTTTCTTATTAATCTCCAGGTGGCGACAAGAGATAAACTTTCAAAGGCCAAAATTATGACAAGTTAGCTGAAAACACCCATTAATGGGGCTGTTTCTCGGTATCTATAGGATGGATCGATCAACTATGGCACTGAAAATCTTTATTACACTAAAATCAATAATTTCTACAGGTGATTTTCCTTAATTTCCAGTAAACACCGAAAACTGGGTATTCACAAGTAAAATGTCAGTGAAGTTAGCCAGAAAGCATTGCTTATGGGGCTCTATCTCTGTGTTCATAGGGTGGATCGGTAAAGCTAAAAATCTCTAATAGAGTGTAGCCTATAATACTATAAGTTGTTTTTCTTCATTTTCAGTAAAAACTGAGAAATAAACTATTAGAAGTCAGATTTTTGAAAAATTAACGAGAAATAACCAGTTATGAGGCTCTTTCTCTGTGTCGATGAGATAAAACAATAGAATATAAGTTTATAAATCTCCATCCAAGTGTATGCTGTAATGTCGATAAATTTTCTTTCTAAATTTCCAGTGGAAACCGAACTGGATTTTTAAAAGTCCTATTTCGGTTAAATCAGCCAGCAATCACCACTTATAAGGCTGTTTCTCGGTGTCTATAGGGTAAATCGATCAACTGAAGGTTTGAAAATCGTCAATATGGCAAATTCTATAATTATCATAAGAGTTTTTTCCAAAATTTCCTGTGAGCACCAAAAAATAGATTTTCAACAGTCACATTTCAGTAAGGTAACCCGGAAATTGCCACTAAATAAAGTAATATTCGGTCATTTGCGATTTTTCTTGCAAGTTACCAATAAGGGTTGTTTAGGGGTTGTTCCGGAGGTCGTGGGTCTTTTATAATTTTTTTCTAGTTGTTTGAAGGCATTTTGACGAATTTTCAGCGATTTTAAAAGTGATACTCGGTCATTATCTATTTTTTTTTTAATTTTTTTTTTCAAGTGGCCGATAAGGGTAGCTTAGGGGTTGTTCCGGAGGTCGTGGGGCTTTGATAATTTTTTCCTAGCTGTCGGAAAGTGTCTTGAAGAATTATTAGCGATTTCAAAAGTGATACTCGGTCATTTTCTATTTTTTTTTGAATTTTTCTTTATTTAGCGGCGATAAGGATAGCTTAGGGGTTGTTCCGGAGGTCGTGGGGCTTTGATAATTTTTTTCTAGTCGTCGGAAAATGTCTTGAAGAATTATCAGCGATTTCAAAAGTGATACTCGGTCATTTTCTATTTGTTTTTGAATTTTGTTTTTTCAAGTGGCCGATAAGGGTAGCTTAGGGGTTGTTCCGGAGGTCGCGGGGCTTTTATAATTTTTTCCTAGTTTTCGGTAAATGTCTTAAAGACTTTTCAGCCATTTCAAAAGTGATACTCGGTCATTTTCTATTTGTTTTTGAATTTTGTTTTTTCAAGTGGCCGATAAGGGTAGCTTAGGGGTTGTTCCGGAGGTCGCGGGGCTTTTATAATTTTTTCCTAGTTTTCGGTAAATGTCTTAAAGACTTTTCAGCCATTTCAAAAGTGATACTCGGTCATTTTCTATTTGTTTTTGAATTTTGTTTTTTCAAGTGGCCGATAAGGGTAGCTTAGGGGTTGTTCCGGAGGTCGCGGGGCTTTTATAATTTTTTCCTAGTTTTCGGTAAATGTCTTAAAGACTTTTCAGCCATTTCAAAAGTGATACTCGGTCATTTTCTATTTGTTTTTGAATTTTGTTTTTTCAAGTGGCCGATAAGGGTAGCTTAGGGGTTGTTCCGGAGGTCGCGGGGCTTTTATAATTTTTTCCTAGTTTTCGGTAAATGTCTTAAAGACTTTTCAGCCATTTCAAAAGTGATACTCGGTCATTTTCTATTTGTTTTTGAATTTTGTTTTTTCAAGTGGCCGATAAGGGTAGCTTAGGGGTTGTTCCGGCGGTCGTGGGTCTTTTATAATTTCTTTCTAGTTGTTTGAAAGTGTCGTGAAAAATTATCAGCGATTTCAAAAGTGACACTCGGTCATTATCAATTTTTTTTTGAATTTTTCTTTATTTAGCGTCGATGAGGGTAGCTTAGGGGTTGTCCCGGAGGTCGTGGGTCTTTTATAATTTTTTTCTAGTTTTCGGTAAATGTCTTAAAGACTTTTCAGCCATTTCAAAAGTGATACTCGGTCATTTTCTATTTGTTTTTGAATTTTGTTTTTTCAAGTGGCCGATAAGGGTAGCTTAGGGGTTGTTCCGGCGGTCGTGGGTCTTTTATAATTTCTTTCTAGTTGTTTGAAAGTGTCGTGAAAAATTATCAGCGATTTCAAAAGTGACACTCGGTCATTATCAATTTTTTTTTGAATTTTTCTTTATTTAGCGTCGATGAGGGTAGCTTAGGGGTTGTCCCGGAGGTCGTGGGTCTTTTATAATTTTTTTCTAGTTTTCGGTAAATGTCTTAAAGACTTTTCAGCCATTTCAAAAGTGATACTCGGTCATTTTCTATTTGTTTTTGAATTTTGTTTTTTCAAGTGGCCGATAAGGGTAGCTTAGGGGTTGTTCCGGCGGTCGTGGGTCTTTTATAATTTCTTTCTAGTTGTTTGAAAGTGTCGTGAAAAATTATCAGCGATTTCAAAAGTGACACTCGGTCATTATCAATTTTTTTTTGAATTTTTCTTTATTTAGCGTCGATGAGGGTAGCTTAGGGGTTGTCCCGGAGGTCGTGGGTCTTTTATAATTTTTTTCTAGTTTTTTAAAGGCGTCTTGAAGAATTTTCAGTGATTTTAAAAGTGATACTCGGTTAATTTTCATTTTTCTTGAATTTTTTTTTTTATTAAGGAGTGATAGGGGTAGTTTTGGGGTTTGGTTTGACATTTCCATACTGCCGAAGACTTTACGCACCATGTAGTGTTCATGCATTTCTTCAGTCACCGAGTCAATTGAAAAAAAAAAATTTTTTTTTTAATTTTCGTTTTAAAAAAAAACGTTTAAAACTTCAGGTACATTCTAAAACGGCGAGCTTCAAGCCTTAAAAAACAAAACAAACGTCTGAAGAGAATGCTAAGTTGAAAAAAAAAAAAAAAAAACAATATTTTCTGTTGACTTCGAACATTATTTCAAACTTTACAGTAATTATCTATACAAACTTCACTGGCAATGGCGATTTTTTTTTTGGCATGTTGAAATTTTTGTAATTTTTATTTTATTGAAAGCGTGTAAGCTCTATGACAATTGTGAGAATTTTTCATGATAATAAGGTATTGCAGATGGACACATTTTTTCAAAAATTATATTAATCACTTTTACTCGGCAAATTTTTGTTTTAACCTTGTGAACAACTTTCTTTATATATTCTAAACAACTTTTAGCTCGCCTTTACTATGGATGGTTACGCTATAAGATCTTCAGTCATTTTAACGTAAAACAATTACACAGGGTGAAGGCCATACAAAAGTACACTTGGTCTCAAAAAATTCCAAGACATTGAAAGAAGTCTAAAATTTTCAAGGACTCTTAATCTGTGGAGGGTTTTTGTTTGAATTTTTAACATTAAATATCAAATTAATGACATTATAATAGACATTATTATGGAAAGATATGTTTTAAAGCTTGAAGTTAAATTCAGAATGAGATGTTATCTCGATGAATTTTTTGTGACTAGTGTAGCAAATATCATTGCCAAGAACGTTGTCAATTTTAATTTTGAAATAACACAATATAATTTATTTCTTGTACAGGAAAAGCGTTCTAACGAAATCTTGCCACGACTATACAGTGAATGAAGAGTAAATTCTTGCGAGGACAGATACCTTCATTTATAATAAACTTTAGTACCAAATTTGGTATAAAAATATTATAAGTAGATAATAGTCACCCATTGAGGAGTACCATGACATAAACGTATTTTATAAGTGTAAATTAACTTACAGAATAGTAACGTAAGTCTCAATTGTGACACTTGTCCATTGGAATCATCCCATACACTATTGGTATTTTTTAATTTTTACTATACTTTAGAACGAATTTGTTCATAAATATTCTAAATATTTTCTTGAAAGTAATGATCATGTACATATCAATTGTAAATTAATTCACCTTGTAAAATATTCATAATGTTTATATTTGTAAAGTATTTTTTTTACAATTGTAAATTTTGTGCATAAAAATTGTACATTTATTCTGTTGTTATAATATTAAAAATTTGTACATTGCTCATTGTTGATTCGTTGAAATGATAAATTATTTAAGTTCAGAAAATCATAAGAATGCACACCAGAATATAAATTTTGTACCGTCTAATAACAAATTAATAAAATTATTAAACTAAATCTTTTTTCTTAAGTTATGTAGAGTAATTAATAGTTATGAATAATATAAAACAGTTAATTGTTTCAGAAATTAAAAAAAATTCACATATTATTTATATGCAAACAAATATAATTGCAAATTGTTTTATAAGTCAACGATAATGCTAAGTGTGCAATAGAAATAAAAAAAGATTTATACTATAGTATAAATTTAATAATTTTAGTTAAATTAAATAGAAGTCTTGAAGAATGATTGCCATTGCACTACAATAAAGGTTAGTCAGTAATGCAGTTCCAACTTTATCATCTATAGATGATATAACAAATATAAATAATGCTGTGAAGCGGGAAAGAATAGGAGTTACGGATAATTATTACGTGAAGCGTTCCAACATTCACGTAACAGAATATTTTGGTAGGAAAGGATTGAGAAAGGATTGTGGAGAGGATCATCTTAATGTGAGTGTATAGAATATGCGAGAAAAAATTATTAGATAGCTCGGACTGGGATTCGAACCCAGAGTATACTCCGTAATGTGGTGCAACTTATTTAATGTTTTTTTTTTATTTATGAAAACCGCGACTTATATACTTTATTACTTATTTTTAGAAAATTCGGCTAAAAGATAAAATCTCTATGGCCAAGTCTAAGTGTGCTCAAAAATCACAAGCTGTACTACAAGAAGCTATCAAAAATTTACCACTAGAATTTCAAACTGTTGTAAATTCCTGCTTCGAAGCAGAAAAAAACATCAAAAGGACGGCGATATACATTAGAATGGATTTATGAATATATGTTGATACGTTTAAAGAATCGAAATACGTATCAACTTTTGCGGAATAGAAAAATTTTGCCTTTGCCATGTTTAGAAACATTGAATAAATACATTCGAAAAATTAGCTGCTCTGCTTACGGGTTTCAACCGGCTACTTTTCTTAGCCTGAAAGAAAGATGTAAAGCAATGACAAAAGGAGAGAAACGTGGAGTCATTTTGGTTGACGAAATGAAATTAAGTGAAGGTGTTCATTTTGATCAACATTCTATGAAATTCAGTGGTTTTGTAGATCTTGGGCAGCACACCCCGGAAGAATTGAAAAATGAAACAGCAGATCATGCCTTAGTTTTCAAGTTTGTACCGTTCAGAGGAAGGTGGGTTCAAGCTTTAGGCTGCTTCCTTTCTAAGAATGCTTGCAAAAGTGAACCACTGCATAAGCTTATTTTAGAGTGTATTATACTGATGGAAAATAGTGGAATCTGTATTGATGCCGTAGTTATGGATGGTGCATCGTGGAATAGAGGGGTTTGGAAAATTTTCGGTATTGACGACAAAAACATCAGCTGTGAACATCCTTTCGATAGCTCACGGCGATTGTGGATGATTTCGGATTTTAATCATTTATTAAAATGCTTCCGAACATCAACTTTAGATGACAAATTGCAGGAATTCCAGGTACAATATAAAGTAATGGTATGTCCTGTAAAGCACAGAAGATTATTATAAATAATGTTATTGGTGTTACAGACCCCTTATGGAATATAGTAAAAAAAAAACATTGGGAAGCTTTATTAGAAGAGGAGAATTATCAAGAGGAGAAAGAGTAGGGTGCTTTCAACATGAAAAAGAATTAACTATCAAAATTATTGATTTTTATGTAGTGATGAGATCTCATTTTTTGGCTGAATCTGAAAATAAACGCTACGAAGCTGCCAAAATTAAGACCAAAGCAAATAGAAAAAATGCCAAACTACTATCATAAGTACACAACTTGTTATTAAAAAAATATGTTTAACTATAACTATTGTTGAAGATGTATTAGTTTATTTATCTAATTTAATAATATATTATATTCGTAGAATTTCTTTTTGAATCCGTTTGTTGATTCATTTTACCTTACAACTTGTTTATGAAATCCCAAAAAATTGGTTATTTTATTTTTGACAAACAAATTTTTAATAATTTAAAGTCATTACGTATTCTATTTGGAGCTCTTTCAAATTGACGGCATGAAAATTTCGGACTTTTTCATAACTAATTAAAAAAATATATTTTTGGTAACACGTTCGTTAATTTAATTGTTTAAAACGATACTTTTCTAATTTTTAATTTATATTGTCTTTATAATTTCATGCATAATTGGAAATTTCAATATGACTTGTGAAAGAACGCGTTAATTTATAATAATATATCATATGAGTATGCTCCGATCATATATTTTGTTTGAAAAGTACACCAAGAGGAAGAGGAAATTGCTCGGTCCTTGTTTATTTCTCTATCTTTTTCTAATTACGTTTGGCGCTTTCTTTAAAATTTATCGACTGCTACTGCAGCACCACTCTTACTGGACGCGTTTTTACGGACACTTTTTCGTACACAGAGATGGTCCTCCTTACCTCTACCCTCCATAATTTAAATTGCGTGCTGTATGTACGGTGGGCTCTCATCCTAACCAAAAAATGAATCAGAGTTCATTTTTCGATTAGTTTCGAGGATTTCGATTTTCGATACTAAACTAACTTCAATAAATTTATCAATTTTATATTATAGGAAGAAAAAACTAAAAATATAAATAAGAAGATAGGATAGGATTGTTCATTGTCGCCAAAGAATTATTGCTGGGTAATAAATAAATGAGTAACAATGGTGAAGTCCGTTATTTCAAAGAGAAAATATCGAGAAGAGTGAGAAAAAGAACATTTGTTTAAAGGTATACTAATGTGTTGTTTTTTATTGATTTATGTATTTTCATTTTATTTTATTATGTGTAGTTAAGCATGCTTAACCTGTACACTTTGGTAACTTGCATTTACTTATAAATTTATTTTAATTTCAGGATGGCTATGTAAAGCTCCTGCAAGTTTAATTAGTGCGGGCCGTGGAGAAGCTTATTGTAAATTTTGTCGTGTTTCGTTACGAGCCCAAAAACATGACTTGACGAAACATGTCAAAACGCAAATGCATATTAAAAATATGGAATCTTTAAATGTGAAGAAACAAGCAACTTTATTGAGTATTGGTAAAATAAGTCATACACTGTTAAAAATTTCTATTGTAATTTTACAAGAAATGTATTGGAAGCTAATAGGCAAAACATTTATTTAAAATTACAATCGGGTATAGTAAAATTACAAAACATATATAGCTCAGTGAGGTTACTAATTTTACAAAACGGTTTTGTAATTTTACAAATATTTTTAGATTAGCTAAGTTTGTAAAATTACAATACTTTCCTTGAATTTTACTTGAATTGAAATAATAAAAAAGAAAGATTTGATTTAATATCTGTTGTCATTTTATTGTTATGAAGCGCTGACTAGATTTGGTATCTCACGTAGACCTAATTTGTTCAACTCAGATGATTTAAAGTGAAAATAATATATACCCTAACTAAGAACCGAACCCGAGCCGCGCGCTTGCCAGACCGATACCTAACGCCCTACGCCGTACGACCGATAGGTGATTCAACATCTTATTATTCTTATAAGCTAATCCTATTATATGTGGTGATTGAGTATTACGGCTTATTATTTATAATTTACATTAATTGTGTTATTTTATGCTGTTTATTGATAGAAAAGTCTAACATATACTCATTCAAATATATTGATTTCGAAATGAGCGTTTGAGCATAATATTAAAATTTATAAAAGATAAATTATGCCTCGAATTTATTATTACAAATAAACAACCATAGACTAAAAATTAGTAAAAATAAATATGAAGGACATTGTTGTTTTTTTATACATCAGTCTCATATTTGTAAAATTGAAAAGTATTATTTTTAAAATTAGAAAACAGTGAAGTAGAATTACAATTCGTGTAATATAAATAAAATTTTCTGGTAACATTACATTGCACTGTGTAATTTTACAATGAAAATTGTAAAAATAAAAAAAAAAGCTTTTTAAATTTTTTATGTGATTATTGTAATATAAATTACAATATTTTTTAATTGATTTTACATACAATTATGCCGAATCAAATTAAAAATAATGTTTGCAAAATTAAAAAGCTTTTTCTTGAAAATTGACAAACAGTTCTGTAATATTACAATGCGTATTAGGTTTATACAAGAAGATTGTAAAATTACAATACATCTTAGTAGATTTCCTAACAGGTGTTGGAAAATTACATGAACTGTATTTTATTTCGCATTGCTATACACTGATTTGTAATTTTACAAA